ATTTTTGCATATATACTCTTTAAATGTATAGTATTTGTAAAATTATTCATCACATCTGTACATGTCCAAAATTATGTCTCAAAAATAGAATGTGGTGTTTTTCTACCAATCCAACTTAAGAATGTCGTTTTTTAAACAAGACAATGTCAGAACTTCTAATAATTTCCAATAGGTTTTTAACAATTTTCCGTTTAAAAACTAAAATTGTTAAGCCAAAGGAATAGGAAAAAAATCAACGTGAGAGAATCGGGGGATAATTTTACAAATCCCACCCCCCACAAAAAAAAATTAATAATAACTTTAAACATTTTCAAAATCATAGTTTGATTAGCACAAGCATTTTTTTGTTATCTTTGCAAACCAACTCAAACTGGGTGAGGATAAGTTCTACTCTAGTTCTATCCTAAATGTATTCTGGTTTGGACCAAAATAGGAGTGGTTCAAAGTGAAAGTGAATTAGTAGTCAGAATTTGGCCTTAAACCATTGGGCCAAATTTGGACTTGTTTTGTGAAAAAAAAAGAAGAAAACCCAAAATTGGATCAGATTCCGTATTAGACTAGTTTTCGAGCGTGGCCAATCCAAAAAGACTTGTTGTTTATAAATTTAATCGTTAGGTAGTTTATTGTAAAGCCAAAAGAAACAAAGAAAAAAAAACTAAATTGTGAATAATACTTGTTGCGCCTTGCTGTTCGATCTTTTCGTTGGAAGATGAATATTAGACTTTTGAGAATACAACGGCAAAGCTATTGCATCTAATAATACTTTCAATGTGTTCTCTCCTACAAATTAATAAATATCAACATTCATTTGAAGAGCTATTTAATATAAATTAAATATTTTGAAGAGTTATTTCTAGTTATCAACATTCAAGGGGTCTTTCTCAAATTACAAGCCACTATCAATATAATAACTTTTGTCTGTGGTCTGGTATAAGAAAATCTACCTTTAAACTTTCCGTTAATTCATTATTACTCCCCGCATTTCTTTACACGTCTTCATACTGTTTTTTCAATGATGCAATGACTCCATCTACTGTGGGTAGTGTGAACTCAACATTATCTTAAAGCAAGCAACTTAATTTGCAACTTACTAAATCAATTTAAAAGTTTGTATGTGATAATTAAGTTGTGTGGGATCAAACTCATCACTTTGTTTATTATTTTAACGTTGTACTTGCTTTTCATGGCGTGTATACTCAACAATTATTCTCTTTTTTGCATGAGTTTGAGCTCCACATCCACATGGCCACAAAAAATGTATGAATAATAAAAATAATCATGATTAAAGCTGAGATTATAAAGATAGCTCAGATAATAAAGATACCCCCCCAAGTTACTCACCTCTGTTAGATATTGTTTTTTTTTTTGAGAGAGAGAGAAAGAATGGATTACTGTTATGATTAACAGTAATCCAGCCAGCTAAATTAAAGATACTTGGTTGTTACATAGAGATACACATCCCCAACCAAGAAAAATGTGAACTCATCGCATTAATTATAATATATTGTAGGAATTAAGAAGAAAATTATCGCATTGTAAAATCATAAAAGGTCATGTTTGTGAACTGTTCGCGATTTATTATATATACTTTCTTCACTCTTTCATCTGAATTCAATACACTCAGATATTTAATAGGGTAAAACATGCAGATAGCCGTCTCATCAATGCATTCTATAGAATTCAACTTTTTTTTTACAACACTTATCATTCTTGATGTACTCCTGCTGTTGAGAGCGGCTAATTGTGGATAATTTCTCCCTTTCCGAATAGAAGGCTGACAAGTGTTAATGAATGAATTGATGCTAAATGATAATTTCTTCAAGACAGAGTTATTAACATTTTCTCTTTGTATATTCAGACATATTTCATTCGAAATAGCATTAATCTCTTTAGTCAACGTTGAGGAGAAAGATGGGCATGTGTGTGTGCATGCGCACACACACTTATATATATACTAGGTTTTATGCATGTGTACTACATGTATTTAAATATCGTGATTATATATTTTTAGTTTATTTTCTTACTAAAATTTATTTTTCGATTTTACTTAAATGGTTTTTTCTCAGTTATGTCTCTGTCTCTAACTTTAGTATTGTGATTATTTATTTTTTTGATGTTTATTTAGCTAAGCTATGCACAATTTAAATTATCATGTTCATAATTGAATTGATAGGAAACAAATATGATCTGAACCTAATTTAAATTATCATGTTATTTGAATCAACATGAAACCAAGCTTGACCTGAGAAAATATAGTGTTGCAAAAGCGAAAAACACTTAAAAATAGCGTTATAAAAGGAAGATGAATAAATAAAGCTAATAAGACAAGATGGTTGTTAAAAAGTTTGCTAAAACGACACAAAAGAGAATATGAAGTTTGTTCCTAGTAGACTTTAAAAAAATTATTATAGACGTCAAAAAATGCTGAAAGATATCCAAATACAGCTCAAGAAGAGATCATCCAAAAAATCAAAAGAACACAAGTATAGACTGTCTCGCACGCGAGACAGTGTTTACTGTCTCGCACGTGAGACAGTCTTTGTTGTCTCGCCATGCGAGACAGTCTTTGCTGTCTCGCACGCGAGATAGGTTCAAGAACGTGGGAAACGTCGTGGGCGAGAATCACGTGGATAACTGCCAAAATAACGGAGTTTGAAACGTGGGAAGGCAGTTACAGTGGAAACCGCTGGGCAGTTGGGTTTTCCGAGACAGTGTTTACTGTCTCGGAACCCGAGACAGTCTTTGCTGTCTCGCCCGCCGAGACAGCAAACACTGTCTCGGAAGCACTGTTCATCTAGGGGTTATAAATACCCCCTGAGATCGATTTTTTTAGGGGGCTGATCGATGGACATTTTTGGAGCAGACAGCAGAGTACTTGAGCTTCTGACAATTCCTTGAGATTCAAGCTTTGACTTGATCTTAAGAAGAGTGGTCGTCTTACTTTGATAAGATCTTTACTTCAAATTCCTACTTCGATAAACGAAGGAAGAATCATTAAACCCCTCACGATTCAATCAGAATCTGTGATTTGGTGGTTCACGGGCTAACGCACCCCCGGCACAGGCAAAGATCCCACGCAAGCAGCGATCCAAACAACGATCCTACGTTTATTTCTAAAAAGTTATAATCTTTATTTTGTTGTGTAAAAGAAGTCTTATAAAAAGACTATTTTTTTTGAATTTATTGTAATCGATCGAAGATATAATGAATTCCACAACGAGACCAACTTTTGACGCAAACAATTATAAACTAAAAATTAATGCTAATTTTAGTGCATTTTATACAATAAAAGTATCGATATAAGCATATAAAAGTACTAAAAAAGTTCATGAAATCTCTTCTAAAAATGTCTAATTTACTCAAAAAATAAACTATTCTATAAAATATTTGAAAAAAGTGTCTTTCATTCATTCTGCTTTACTTTTTATTGAGCCGACATCCAATCCTTCTCCGCCTTTATCTTTTTCGATAATTAGGCAAATTTTAGATGTTGAGAAAGGATAATAAATCTTAAATTAGAAGTCAAGTTTATATATGTTAATAAAGAATATTAAACAACTATTCTTTCCTTGCTAAGTTTAATATTTTAGTCATTTTCTTTATGATTTTGAATTTTTGAGGGTGTGTTTTATAATTTTTAAAACTTGAAAGTGTTTGTTAAAATTTTTAAAATTTAAGTTGGGTACTTGTAATTTTTATGTTTCATGTATTGATGGTAAATTTTTAAATGTCAGAATATTTCTTACAATTCTAAAATTTTTGAGGTTTTTTACAATTATTAAAACTTTAGATTGTTTTTTTATAAAATTTAAATTTTTAGTTTGCTGATAATTTCTAAATTTAATATGTAGTAGTTAAGATTTCAAATCATAGGGTTTTTGTGATTTTTAACTTTTGAATGTTTTTTTTATTTTTATAGCGTTGAGGTTATTTTTTACAAATTTTAGATTTTTAGGTGCCTAATTGTAATCTCTTCGATCAATTTATCTTTGTTGTTTGCAATTTTTAAAATTTTATAATTCCAAAGTGTTTTTTTTTATTATTTAAACTTTTGATGGTGTTTCTATAATTTTTAAAATGTTAGGGTGTTAATTGCAAACTTTAAATTCTTCGAAAGTTTCATGTTTATTATTTTAAGATTTGAAACATCATGATGTTTTGTGTAATTTTTAAATTTGAGCATATTTTTGTGTAATTTTTATAACTTTTTAGGTTTTTTAATACTTCATATTTTATAGCATGTTAGTTTTTTAGCTGAACAAACTAATACTGTGGAGCTGTTTTATGTATTTTATTAATTTTTTAAATTATTGAGTTGTAGGTAGCTTTTATGGGATTAAGATATGATTAATTATCATTATGATAGATTAATATTTAAATGAAAAATTCAATATAGTAAAAAGTAATACTGACCATGAAAAGCTTTTCCTTAACTCGTACTCGGGATATGTACACGCACACGACTCTATACAAACATTATATATGCAGAAAAGAGAACATGATCCGAATTCTACTATCAATTATAAACCCATACCGTTAGTGTACATCGTGTCTCTAGAATAAGAGTATTTGTTTCGTGCGATCATCAAAGCTTTACCGGCACAACAAGATAAATACATCAATTTAATTATGAATGTTAAATTGTGTAACTGAAATTCTTACATTGCAAAGTTTAATGATACTTATGGTGCACATTATCCTTTCTCCGTAATAAGGGGTCCACCGCTCGCATTAAGATTCGCGCACCTCTTGATGAATATGAACAGAGACGAGAGAAAAGGTGGCCAGATGAAGTATCTTCCGCTCTTCTTCCCCTGGGATAAAGAGAGAAGCTCCTTTTTTTATAATATTTACTCAGAAAGAGAGAGAGAATAAAGAGAAGGAAGAAAGCTTGATTATTTAGCCTTAAATTTATAATAAAGTTCCTTATTTGAGCATGGGGGTTTGAACAAGAATCCAATATTGAGATGATTATAATGCTTAGTAGCTCATCCTTGCAAACCTCTGCTTGGGATAAACTTGGATATAAGAAAGGTACCCGATAATGAGGTACCCATTGCCTTTCTTCCTCACGCCCTTTTAATTCCTTGTTTGTTTTGTAGCCTTGAAAGTGTTTGTGCTTTTTCCTCAACGGAGATGGACCCTTGCAGAAGATGGGCATTTGGGCTTCTTTCTCTTTATTGTGTTTTGTTGCCGTTATCTCAATCTTCAGGTAAAACCCATTTCAGTTTTATTATTATTATTTTGTGTCAATTTATTTATGCTGCTATTCTAATGAAACCCATTTCAGTTTATGGGTTCACTAAGGTTAGGGGTGTGAATTTGGGAGGCTGGCTTGTGGTAGAAGGGTGGATTAAACCTTCGCTGTTTGATGGTATTCCAAATGGGGATATGCTTGTAAGTTCTGAAGGTTTTGTTGTCCTTTTCAAATTGGCTTCTTGGTTTATAAGGAAGTCATTTTATTGTATTTTTGGGGATTTTTGGAATTAGGATGGAACACAAGTGCAATTCAAGTCAATGACATTGCAGAAGTATGTGAGTGCAGACAATGGTGGAGGAATGAATGTTACTGTGGACCGAGATGTGCCATCTACATGGGAAACCTTCAAGGTCTGAAAATTCTGGTATAAAGCTTTCTTGTGTTCTTTAATGATGATATCTGTTAATGTTTTTTTAAGCTTAGTTAGGAGCGGCCATGTTGAAACAATTATGATGTTAGTCTATAGTAATATTTGAAGATGGCTAATTTATAGATTAAGGTACTCTCTTGATATATAGACTGCCAATATTAAAGGTTTTGAGTAACATAGTATATTCTTTCTCAATCTTTTAGTTATTCTTAATGAACTATCTTCTATCAATAACTTTGAGGTTCGTTCTCAAAGAATCAAATTTAACTCTCGGGGCACCACAAATTTATGCCAGAATACTCCTTTTGACATATCTTTGAACTTGCAGCATATTTAAATGCATTAACAAATATTTATGAATCTTTTCTTATCTCACGGATTAATGATTTTATTTGATATCTAGATGCGTTGGAGTTATATAATTTGTTCAATTGTTCTAGCAAGGAGTATGAATTTCCATAAATATCAATTTAGTAACTGGAAATTTCTTCATAATGTCTATCCTATTTAATATTGACACTCACAAACATGCATAATTTTATTATTGTTGTATCCATGCCTATGGTATCCTAAATCTTTAGGATTTGACTTATCCATTTACCAATATTTAGTCCTATCTGTGTAGTGCATCATTTTTTTATGCATGAATATGTATGTATGTATAAATATAACTATTTTATATATGGCGTTGGTCATATCCATATCCTAATTTTTCAAAATTTACTCTCATCAGTTCCATATCATATCATACCCATATCTCTAAGTCATGGGGATTTGACTTTATCTATGTACCAACATGCATGTTGCACAAGGTTTTCTGTTCTTAGAGCTTTTTGAATACTTTTAGCTTGCATTGCTTGTTCTCATGATGAGTACTATGTAGTTCGTAAACGTAACTGGATTTTATTTTTAAAACATGCATGTAACATGAAATCAATGCTGAACCTTGTCCTGTTCCTGCTATTGTTGGAACTTCAGCTGTCTTGCACATTCTATGTATAATTGTCATCCTGTTCAGCGCCATCATTGTAAATATATCCGAAATCTTTGCTATTGAAGTAAACTGAGCTTAATAAATATCTCAAATAAATTGTGCAATTCTTTTTATTATTCTTCCCTTTGTTGACAGCTGGCCAATTCCAGCTTTCGCAAACTCCAAAAACTTACCCAGCTGTATTTTCTGCAAAGGATCAAATTGTTTAACTTCTGGCTTCTTGAATCCCATTAATCAACTCTTTATATTTCAATACTAGATATGGAGAGTATCTGAAAACGAGTTTCAGTTCCGATGTGTTGGTGGCCAATTTTTAACATCGACTGGTGAAGGGAACTTGATCTCAGCTACAGCAGGTTCGCCTTCTGTAAATGAGACTTTCTATGTTGAAAGGAACAATACCAGAGTTCACTTTAAATCCTTGAGTGGAATCTACGTGCAGGTATTACTCATAGATTTTAAGTTTCAGTTGACGGAGCCGCTGGTCTTTGATGTTGGAATTCAATGAGGTTAATAGGATTTTACTTCCATAACTGGAAAATGTCAATCTAATGCCATCGCTCAAACATTTAGGCTACACAAGATAATCAGCTCAGAGCAGATTATCAAGGAGAGCCAGGCTGGGAAGACAACGCTGCAACCTTTGAAATGATAATTTTCGCCAACAATCTACACGGAGATTATCAGCTTGCTAATGGGTATGGGCATGATAAAGCAGAAGAGATTCTGATGGTTAGTTATTATACGTTGGTAGTTTTTATTGTTGAATTACATACTACAATCTTACATCAAACATAATTCTGATCCAATCTGCAGAAACACCAACGCACCTTTGTAACAGCACAAGATTTTGATTTTCTCTCGAAGCATGGTATAAATACTGTTAGAATTCCTGTTGGATGGTGGATTTATCAAGACCCAGACCCACCAGCTCCGTTCGTTGGAGGTTCCCTGTCAGCTCTAGACAGAGCATTTTTATGGGCACAGTAGGTTCTATTTTGGTACAATTTATAGTTATTTTATTGTCATCAGGATCTATGAGCTTTTTGATCTGTTTGTATCTTTGCTGGTTTAAAAGTATTTAACTCTCATTGCTTTGTGTTCAGGGTTTATGATATTAAATGCATTATCGATCTCCACGCTGGTCCTGGTTCGCAGAACGGAATGGAACACAGTGCTAGCAGAGATGGTTCTGTAAACTGGCCACAACCAGAGTATATTTCACAGACACTGGATGTCATAGATTTTTTGTCTGCAAGGTATGTTTCCGTACTGTTCTGCCAATATATAAATCTGTTAGCTCTTTAGATGCCTTCTTCTCAAAGTTGGAAACTTGAATCTCCTTTTTCCATCCCTAGGAAGCAAATATTGGTAAAACTACTGCCAAAGCAAGAGAGGGCGAGAGATATACTGAGGGGGCGGCTAGGTTCCTAATGAGGAAATTCTAGTGGTGTAAAATTTATGGGGAGAATGTGATAGGTTAGAGTTCAGTGTAATTTCCAGAAATGATCTCCCGACAGTTCAACATTCCAGGGACTAACATTCACATCACAAAACTAACAGAGACTGTAATTACTTGGCCATTAAACATGACCTCCTTAGTATCCCAATTTGACTGCTATAATATCTGAAGTTGGTCTCTTTAGTATTCCAAATTGACTGCTATAATATCCGAAATTGATGGGATATAATTTTGTGTCTCAGTGACTTCTGTGGTTGCTTGGTTGTAGTAGTGTATATTTCACAATGAGGAAACTATTAAGTGGCTGACTAAAATGTAGAAAACAGCTATGTTTGTCAAGTGATAATTGATGGGATTTATTTATCAGTAGAATGGATAATTGATTTTCTTTTTCCATCACTTGACTAAGGGTCTGTTTGGTTTGCATGAAAATGAAGGATAAGAAAAGAAATTTGAAAAAGAAATATGTTTCACTTGTTTGGTTATAAAGAAAGATAAAAAGAAAAAAGAACATGAAAACAAGGGAATCCAAAAGAAAAAAGCTTAAAAGATTTTCACTTTTGTTCTCCTCACCCTGACCCATTGAAAATGAGAAGACAAAATGTCGGGCCGGCGCTCCGGCTGTAGATCTCTCCGCTTCAGCAGCAAAGTACAGCTGGCGCTAGTCATTTGCGTGCCCCACTATTGAGTAACTAATATCGAATAGAATGTCTCCCATTTGGTTTTATGTGGGCCCCACTAGATAATAGAGCTATAAGATCATATGGCTTAGTTACACTTGAATACCCTATAATTTCCCCTCTTTGCACTTATACACCTTCATTTGTTTTTAACAGTATTTACGTACCGTAAATTTTTTAAAACTTGCACTTAAATACGCTCAGTTATGCAAACTTGAGGGCATTTAAGCCCGACTTTTAAAAACTTGAAGATAATTAGGTGCCATTTTTTAAAACTTTAGAGCATTTAAGTGCAAGTATTAAAAACTATAGGGTATGTAGGTGCACCAAAAACAAGTGAGGGTATGTAAAGGTATGTAAGTGAAAGTTTTTAACAACTTTAGGTACATAACTGCCGCAAAAAACCAGTGAGGGTATAGAAGTGCAAAGTAGGGGAAATTGCTGGGTATTTATGTGCAATTAAGCCTAAATCATACAGGAAGTGATAATTTCAAATGTGTAAAAATATATTTGGTGATGTTCGTATCGTTTTGACGCGATAGTGATACATTTATACAAAACTTCTACCCCGAGCACACGCAATGGAGCCGTAGACAGTCAAGTGAAATCCAATCCAAGAAACAATTTGATCTATGGATAGCATCATTGTGGTAAAGGTCGTAATGCCAGAGGAATCGTTACCGCAAGGGATAGAGGGAGGAGGTCATAAGTGTCTATACCATAAAATCGATTTTCGACGGAATGAAAAAGACGTATCTGGGTGAATCGTAAATTAATTGTGAAATAAGTTCAATAATTTTTTTCCTTCCTATATAACTTTGCATCAAATGCTCCTTGTAAATTTTTTTTCCAAAAATACAAGCAACACTTGTATCAATTATCATAGAAAAAGAAATTTAAAAAACTTACTAATGGAGATCATTTGCAATATAAGTTAATTATATCCTCTTTCCCATTTTATCGAATCATTATTTTCCTCCCAATTTTCTTTGCAAATTTCTTCCTAGCCAAACAACAAAAATAACTTTCTTTTCTTTTCTTTTTCTTTCCCTTTCTTCTTCCTTTCCTTTTCCTTTTCTTTTCTGTTCCTTTTAACTCAAACTAAACATAGCCTAATAGATTTTCTTTTTTCCGGTAACTTGCACACTATAACTACATAGATCAGAGATTTGCAGTTGAGTTGTAAAAAAATCTTGAATTAGCATGTATTCTGATGAGGCTTTCTCCTTGGCGATGTATCTTGTTTACTGATAAATTGTTTGTAAGTCTCTTTATCAACTTCGACATGCTGCCTCACGAGAAAATATTGAATCCACAAAACAGAATTGAATACATGAACGAGATTGCTATTTATATTGCAAGACTAAGTTTTCTACATTATTACAGGTATGGAAGCCATCCTGCTCTCCTTGGGATTGAGCTTCTCAATGAACCTTCTGCAGGAGCAGTTCCAGTAGATGTTTTGATTTCTTATTACACGAAAGGCTACCAAATTGTTCGCAGTCATTCATCTACAGCTTATGTTATAATTTGCCAGAGAATTGGGAATGCTGATCCATTGGAGCTTTATCAGGCAAACATCGGTGATTCAAATGTCGTGGTGGATTTACACTATTACAACCTCTTTGACCCTTTTTTCAGTAACACGAGTGTCACAGATAATATTGAATACTTACACAAAAGTAGAGAACCACAGTTACAAGCATTAAACAGTGCAAATGGGCCTCTTATATTTATTGGTGGGATACTGTAAAACCTTCTTTGTGTAATTCCTGATTTTTTAAATAGCATTATTGTGACAACAAAAAAGATTCAAGATGAATATTATGATACCTATAGCGAATTTGATTACAGTTTTCATCAGCTAGTTATTTTTTCTGATATGAGTATTGCTTATACCATATATTTTTCGTTCAGGGGAGTGGGTGAATGAATGGAGTGTAGTGAATGCCTCAAAAATGCAGTATCAAATGTTCGGGAGAGCTCAATTAGAGGTTTATAATGCTGCTTCGTTCGGCTGGGCTTATTGGACACTGAAGAACGACGAAAAGCATTGGGACTTCGAATGGAATCTTCAGAACAACTATCTTCTACTAGGTAATTAGATATGCCTTAGTTTTACCTTTTATTTCCTAGACGTTTCCAAACATTTTAGAGATAACATGTTAGACCTGTATATCTTACTATTGTTTTAGGAAAACTACATAGCAAACATTGACCATGTATGTATTGATGATCTTAGCGTCGAAGGAAAGAAACTTTACCTAATCCTATGTTTTTTGTTGCTTTCAAAATCTGATATTTTCTGATGAGGTTTATGTAAAGCAAACACTTCTGGAGAAGTCGAATCTTTAATATTTTCTCAAGTCCATAACAGAACCCTATTTTCCACCTTCTATCATTTTGCTTGTTCTTTGAGATAATATTGACTTTCTTATTTTATCCCGAAAACCTGTAATTAATCAATTGACACTCATTTTAGTTATCTATGCTTTTCCTTTGGTCTTGATTTCAAGGTAGCCGGTACAAGGTTAAGTCAACTTAATCTTACTTAAAGCACTCCGCATCCTAGTGTTAAATACTCGATTATTTACTCTTTAGATGACCATATGCACCTAATGACATAGGAAGATAATAAATTCGGATATTTATATTTGGAAGTTTTCCTACAGGTAGTTCGTCCAGGATGTCTCCAAACAAACTGTACATTCTCATATTGGCATATACATTGTTTTTGCTGGCATACTCGCTATGATACATTAACACTACCAAGTACCAACACATCAAGGAAACCTGGAGAGGAAATTTTCTTCGACGATGATCCTCTCTTTTTTTTAGAGGCCGCTGGTTCATTCATTTCTTGTGTAACAATAAAAATGAACACAATTTTAATTTCATTAAAGATTTTAAGATACCATGTACAACAATTGCACTCAGATTTAAAATTATTTTTCCCAATGACAAAAATTATGTTCATTTAGCTCAGAAGCTAGTCGCCATTTTTAGCCCCTTCCTGTAAATGAAAGTATACGTCCTCTCAACTACCTGTCCAAATAAGAAATATGCACCCAAAAAAAAGAAAATACAGCTAAAACCCCAAAATATGATCAATTTTCTGAATGCATAATGCATACTTGGCACCGAGAACTGTTTGATACCGTCCGGGTTTGATATGATGATTCTACCTGTGATCATGAGGCTGATTTTTTTAAAAAATTATGATTGTATGTACTTAGTTGATGATGTTTCTTTGCCATATGAAACCAAATATATTGAATTTGCACTTAACCCCCACGATTTCATGATATTAAGGTTTTGTTAACTTCCCGGGTTTTAAGCGAAGGTTAATCGATAATCTTGTTGATGCTTTAACCGTAGAATATATAGAAAGCAAAGAGCCCAGCGCAGCAATATCATTAATAGCTTTTTCCAAGGGTTTAAGTGAGCTTAGTTTCTATTGAAATATTACGTGTTGTGTATTTGGACGTCATTACTTAAAATATGTCCTTTCGATGATGAATTATGACCAGAGAAATTGCCTTTTTTTTACTGCCAAACATGAAGGAGAGAATCCGAATTCTCTCACGTCGGGTCTAGTGACGATCTTTAATGTTAACACTGGAGTCCAATTTTTATTATTTTTTTACTTAAATAATAGATGCTTTGTCATTTGATTTTGATGACCTGATTAATTAAGTAAAAAAAATAAAGCACCTGTCGCTCTAAACCTGACTAAGAAAAATGAAATGAATTTCTAACGATGAACTTTTCTTTTTCGGGTCTATTATTTTTGGAGGTGAGATTGTCGGCGGTGCGATCTCAACAAACTCTCGCATGATGGTATTTCTTTTTTTTTCTTTTTTTTTTGTCGTCTTATGTGGCCGATAACGGGCCTTGACGTGTTATTGGGCCCGCACTAACAATTGAAACGTGAGTTTAACTCGGCTCTGCTCGTTGTTTTCCTAATCTCTAGCTAGTATTTTTCTGCTCGTTGTTCTCCCAGTATTAGTTGTGGATTCAATGGTCTCCGCTAGCAAGTTATTATTAAAAAATAAATAAAAATAAAAAGGCAAAAAATAACGATCATCTATATTTGACTGAATATTCTGATACTTAATACATGGATGACAATGACTAAGACTTTTTGTACTATAATAAAGTAGTATCAGAGCATTAAACATATATACGAGCCTGTTGGAGACAGTGCCTACTTTATCCGATCCGATTAATTCGCGAATTACACGTGGATTCCACCTTGGTGCGTCGAAATAATGTCTCTATTCTCTAGCGAAACTGTTGTTGATAGAGTCAAGTACAATCCAAGGACCAAAAGTACTTTGGACCTAACCCTCATGTGAAACACTGTGAAGTCCTAACAAGAGTTCAATAATGGAGTAATAGGTTTTTTTAATCATCGATCAATGATTGAAGGATGTTTTTAAATTAGGTTACCTAGCAAACAATATAGATTTATGGAAAAATTGTTTCAAGGTCCCAAAATTTAAGTTTCAATGTACTTTAGCTCCTCACATGTTTTTAAATGTGCTGCAGCCTCTTATTTTTGAAAAAACTGTGTCCAGGACCCTCCATAATGATTTCAGCTCATGATTAGACATGTCAGCTCTTAAAATTCCAATTTTACTCTTTCTCTTTCTCATTCTCATGTCAGCTCATGTTAACTGTTATAGATAACATGTTAACTTTCATAGATAACATGTTAACTATTATAATTTTATAAATATGTTTTGAGCTCAATGTGTGAACTGTAATAGTTAACATGTTATCTATAATAGTTAACATATTATCTATAATAGTTAACGTGTTACCTATAATAGTTAACATGAGACGCGAAGTTTCTCGGGATGGCGCTGGCGGCGGAGCGGGAGAGGGAGGTGGGGGAGGGGGACCGGAGGAGGAGGAGGGATGTGTAAGGGTGTAAGGGGGAGGTGCAGCGGGGGAGGGAGGCGAGGGAGGGGGCTGAGGGGGACCGGAGGAGGAGGGAGGTGTAGAGGAGAGGGTAAAATCGGGATTTTAGAGGAGGTTGCATTGGAACTTGGGGAGAGGGGCCTAGACACAATTTTTTTAAATTATAGGGGCTGTAGCACTTTGGGGGAAGTTGGGAGACTCGGGCACATTGAAACTTGAATTTTGGGGCATTAAAGCAAATTTTCCTAGATTTATTCGATATTTCTAATAAAAAGGGACAAGAAAAGAGCCTTATATATTGCACGTGTCTACAAATATAATGGCATAATGCCAACATGATTTTATGAGAGTGAATGCGCTTATCACCATCTACCGATCTAAGGAACGATCATGTTAGATCGGATGCTCGTGTCTTCATATTAGGGCCGTTGTTACATCTAACTTGTTTTTAATCTATTCAATTGAACCTAATATCTTTGTGCAATTAATAAATATGTTAAATTACATTAACTCCCTAGAAACTTTCATCATTTTGTAGCAAGCCCCCAGTAACTTTCAAAATCACAGTACACCGCTAATAACTTATGGAATTGCGAAAAATCGCCAATAATTTTTTGCATTTTGCAAATAACCACCCGAAAATAAGAAAAAAACAAGATACAAGGCATTTTGAAGGACAATTTAGCAAAGAAATAAAGATTCGGAACCAAACCTTGATGCGAACAAGAGGAGAAGAATGACAAAAGATGACAGATTTTTGTTATTAGGGTTGGAGCTATAAAAAGGGTTCATAAGGATTTTTTAGTACTTTAACGGGTATTTCTAGTCTTTTAAAGTCGTATGAGTTGCACACGCCACATCAAATATAATGGTGTTTACTTTGAGGGTTTTCTACAAAATGTATTAGGAGTTAGTTGAATTTTAAAAGTTAATTGAGGATTTACTTTGAAAATGCTGAAAGTTCTTAGCCTCGTTTGGCAAGGGATTAAGAGAAGGATTAAGAGGGTCTAAACCCCTCTTTAACCATCCAAACGGGTTATTTTGGTCAAAGAATTAACAAAACCTTTACAAGGGTTAGTTAAAGTTAGTTAGCCCCTCATTTAGAGGGGTTAATAATTCCATCTTAAGAAAATGATTAACCGTTACTCCCTCTCGAAATAAAAAATAACACTTTAAAAAAGAATATACTTCAGGATATTTATGACAACTAGCCTCCTTAAACATTCTTTATTTGCTAAACATGAAAAACTTAACTCTTCATCTTGACTATTAAATTCAAACCAAATTAAATTATTTTTAACCTTTCGTAAAGGGTTAACTAAGTTAGTCTTTTCCCTCATCCCTTCTCCCTTAGGCTCCATTTGACGAAGGGTTAAGAAAGAGAAATTAAGGAGAATGATTAACATAGTTAGTCCATTGATAACCCAAAAGACTAAATTATTAACCTATTAAATAAGTTTTACTTTAGCCTTTATGATCATTATTAGTGTTTGGGAATAGCGAGAATTTTGACTATTTTCTTTATAAATAAAAGGGTTAACTCTTAATCCTTCTTAATAGAAGTATTAGTAAACCCCTCATTTTGAGGGATTAACTCATTTTAATCCCTCTAGATGGATTAGCTTAACCATTCTATATTTTTTGTGTTTGGCAAACTATAGATGATTAACTCACTTTAGCAACTGTATAGATTTTTTTTGTGTTTGGCGGGCTAAGTTCCCTTAACCCCTTATTTAACCCGTTGCCAAACGGCACCTTACACTAGTAGAAAATCACATATTCTAGACGGAATATTCTAGACGGAATTTTTTCCGTCTAGAATGTATTAAACTAGACGGAAATTTTCCGTCTAGAATATTCCGTCTAGAATAAAACATTCTAGACGGAAAATTCCGTCTAGAATAGTATCCTAGACGGTTTTTTTATTTTTTTATTTTTTTTAAAAATAATCAGGTATTCTAGACGGAAATTTCCGTCTAGAATAGTATCCTAGACGGAAATTTCCGTCTAGAATATATAGACCAATTTTTTTAAAAAAATTCAGCCAATAAACCCGCGAATGCCCCCTCCCCCTCCCCCCTAAAACGAATAATTCATCCCCAAATTCGTTTTCATTTCAGGAACCCCCTCCTACTCCTCCCTCCACCGCGTCCCCCTCCTCTCCCTCTCCCTCCTCAACCTCACCCGACCCCTCCCTCCCCCTCTACTCCCTCTCCCTCCACGGCCTCAAGATCGTCGACGCTTGGTCCGGCGCCCTCGACGTCCATCTGGACACGTGGACGCTCTCCATGCTCAGGGATGAAGTCCGCCGGCGATCTGCCGCCGCCGCTGCGGGATCCACCGTGAATTTGATTTGTGAGGGTGGAGCATTGAAAGACTGCGATGATGGGCAATTTTTAGCCCAACTGGGGCTCAAGAGAAACTCCAGAGTTCTTGCTTCTGTTGCGTCCCCTGATGAGGGCAAAGCCCTTGATGAAGTGCCGGCGTCGGAGGCGGAGCGATCGTCGGAGCTCAGTCGATTAAAGTGAGTTCTTTTTATTAGTGGGTTTCTGGGTTTTCAGGGAATTTCTTGAATTTTTAGCTTAATTGTGTTAGATGATTATTGTTATTGGATGATTAGAATGATATGAAGGTTTATCTGATTTATGGGTATCAATTATATTATTGAAGTTGTTGGGAATTTTGATACAAAGGCCATTTCTTTATGTAATTAATTATACATATTGTGTGTTGTAGATTGTTGTTGTTTGTGAGCACCTCCTTGTTAGATGATTATTGACAATTGACGATTGCTAGTGATATGAAGAATTGATTATTGACAATTGATGATTATTGACAATTGACAATTATACACTTTGCCTTGTTTTGCATTAATCTTCTTAATAGATGATTAGTCACAACGAGTGACGAAGTTATAACACATCGCGTAAAGGAACTCGCACGTGTTATGTATTTTTCACCACCAATAAGTATAGCACTCACGTCGACTGTGAATGCTTAGAGCATACATGGTGTTGAATGCCTCGCTGTGTTC